TCAGCCTTCCAAGTAGCTGGAACTACAGGCGCGCGCTACCACGCCTGGCTAATTTTTTGATTTATTGTAGAGGTGAGGTCTCACCTGCCCAGGTGGGTCTCGAACCCACGGGCTCAGGTAATCCACTCACCTCAGTCTCCCAAAGTGCGGGATTACAGGCTGAGCCACCGAACCCGGCCCAAGTTCCTTTTTAGTTTGTTTCAGTCTATCTTTCATTTTGGAAGCTATCAAATAGCTAAAGATCCTTACTATCTGGTGATACATGGCTAACCATTCATATAGGCAATGTTTCTACCTTTTCAATTGAGCACAGGGACAACTTGAAATAGAAAATCTTTTGTTCAGTTTTGCAGTGTAAAAAGCACGGCAGCAGGACCAGGCGCAGGGGCTCACACCTGTAATCCCAGCACTTTAGCAGGAGGCTGAGGCCAAGAAGATTGCCTGAGTACAGAGGTCCGAAACCTCGTCTGTAAAAAAACTAGCTGGGTGTGGTGGCACAGGCCTGTAGTTCCAGCAACTTGGAAGGCTGAGGAAGGATCACCTGAGCCCAGCAGGTTGAGGCTGCAGTGGCCGTGAGCATGCCACTACACTCAGCCTGGGTGACAGAGACTCTGACTCAAAAAAAAAAAAAAAATGGCAGAATAGTACAATTCCTTAGCTACTTACAGTCTGGTTGTAATTTTCCTCATAACCCTAATGATGATCCCAGCAACAATGCCAACAGCTAATAAGATTCCAAGTATTATTCTCATCAGGGCCACAATCTCCAACCTGTCTACTCTCAAATACTGTCTCTTTTTAATTACTTTCTCAACGGAGTTACCATAGAGATATCACCATATTACAAGTTAATCTTTATGGTCTGAAGTATAAAAGTATCTCTAAGAAAATCCCTCTTGTCCTACATGGGAGATCCTTTCGTTTTATGTTAGTATTTAATTAAAAGGTTGCACTTGGCTTCTTCTTTTTCTTTTTCTTTTTTTTTTAGTCGGGGTCTCACTCTGTCACCCAGGCTGAGTGCAGTGGCACACTCATAGCCACCGCAACCTTGACCTGCTAGGCTTAGGTGATTCTTCCATCTCAGCCTTCCAAATAGCTGGAATCACAGGCATGTGCCACCACGCCTGGCTAATTTTTTGATTTATTGTATAGACGAGGTCTCGCCATGTTGCTCAGGCTGGTCTTGAACTCCTAAATTCAGGCAATCCTCTCACCTCTGCCTCCCAACGTGCTGGAATTACAGGCTTGAGTCAGCCGGCTTGCATTTGGCTTTTTAAAAATTGGCCTATTTATAGCTTTTTTGTTGTAAAGATATTAGTAGGAAGATAATTCTTACACAGATTATGAGAACAAATAATGGTAACAATAATATAAAAGTGTGTACATTAGTTTTGACTTACCCTTAGAAGCAGCTCTGCTAATATACAGCCAACAGCCCACATGTCTACACCAACACCATACATCCTAGCTCCAAAAAGTAACTCAGGGGCTCGATACCACCTGAAGAACAAAAACAAAGAATTTCACTTTAGAATTGAATTATTAAAACTCTTTTCAATCAGGCTTTCATCCTTAACATTTCACTAAAACTGCTTTTGTCAAGCTTATCAATGATGCCCACCCACACTGCTAAATCCCACTGTCAATTCTCATGTTAATTTGACTTATTAACAGCATTTTATTTGCACACAGAGAAAATATGAAAAACTGGTAAAGGAGAAAGCACCAGTTAACAATGCTCTTGTATATGGATCCCTGTTTCTAAGAAGTCCTGTCTCATGAGCTTAATTGTTCCAGCAATTACATAACAATCTCTCACATCCCCTACTTCTTACTCAGGGTTTAAGTGATTGATACTCAGTGACGTCTTTTTGGAAGAAGGTAGCGAAGTCATTTAAAATAGAGAATCTGAAGATCTTTGCAGATCCTTAAAAATAAAACTTTGGGGGGCCAAGGTGAGAGGACTGCCTGAGCAACAGAGTGAGATTCTGACTTAAAAAAAAAACCTAAAATGAACGCTACCCTGACAAGAATTATAAAAACTGGCTGGGCTTGGTGGCTCAGCCTGTAATCTCAGCACTTTGGGAAGCCAAGGCGAGTAGATTGCCTAAACCCATGGATTCGAGACCAGCCCAGGCAAACTTGTCGAGACCTCGTCTCTGCAACAAATCAAAAATTAGCCGGGTGTGGTGGTGCATGCCTGGAGTTCCGGCCACTTGGAAGGCCAAGGCGGAAGGATCACCAGAGCCCAGCAGGTCGACGCTGAGGTCCGTGAGTGTGCCACTGCATTCCAGCCTGGGCGACGGAGTGAGACTCCAACTTAAAAAAAAGAGAATTATAAAAACCTGTTGCCTCTACCTACTTGAGAAGATGTTCAGTTTTTATCTATCAAAAACATAAACATAAAACATAATTCCTAATATGAAAAATTCAAATATCAAGACACTGTTTGGTTTAGAGAATTTTCCTTCACACAGAAGGATATGGACTCAGGATTTAATAAACAGAGACCCAATAAATCACACGACTAGGTAGCAGAATAGCCACTGGTGTTCCTTAGCTAGCTAAAAAGTAAAAGTATAAATTATTCTCAAAAGTTATTAAGCAAATGTCTTAGAATTGAGTTAATTATTAAACTATGTGTGAAAAGGGGCTACGTGTTTTTTCATTGTGGTAAAATATACTATACCTTACAATGGGAAATATTTTCTAGGAGGATACCAATAATGGTATCTGAACTCTCCAAAAGTTATTTCAGAGAAGTTTTTGATGCTTATTTGTGACCAACACCCCACATAACGTTAAGCTTTCAATTACTTAAGGGATTCTTACCTGGTTACAACCTGATGTGTATAAACTCTGTTGGGGCTCCCAAATGATTTGGCCAGGCCAAAATCTGCCAGTTTAAGAACTCCATTTTCATCTAGCAACAAGTTGTTTGGTTTCAAATCCTATATCACAGAGATTTTAAATAAACAAGTAAGCAGGGTGGGGAAAAATATATAGTGCCACGTTTAATTGGCTTTGCAGAAACCCAATAAATGAGTGCTACTGTTGACTTACAAACAATAATAAACATGAACTTTAGTAAATAAGAACGTTACACATTTAGAAAGTATGAGCTATGATCACACCACTGCACTCCAGCCTGGGGCAACAGAGTGAGAGCCTAGCCCTTGTCTCAAAAAAGAAAAAGAAAAAAGAATTACTAGTTATAAATTACATGTTCTTAGCTACTTATATAATTAGGAAACATTTACCTAGCTAAATTATCAGCCTTTCAGCCTTGTTCCAATACCTGAATGTTCCCAAAAATAATCCAAAGTTTCATAATTTTTACTTTATTTCATAAATTTTATAACTTATAGAATTTTAGAGCTACTATAGATATTACTTTTCTTTTTTTGAGCCAGAGTCTCACTCTATTGCCCAGGCTGGAGTGCAGTGGCACGCTCACAGTCACTGCAGCCTCTACCTGCTGGGCTCAGGCGATCCTTTCGCCTCAGCCTTTCAAGTAGCTAGAACTACAGGCATGCACCATCATGCCCAGCTAATTTTTCTTGGTTTATTGTAGAAATGAGGTCTCACCAAGTTGCTCAGACTGGTCTCAAACCTGTGGGCTCAGGCAATCCTCTCATCTTGGCCTCCCAAAGTGCTGGGATTATACACGTATGCCATTGTGTTCAGCAGATATTACTTTTCTAAAGGCATTTTGGCATTGTTTAAATTAATCCAGGACTCTCACTGTATTCTTCCCCATAACAACAGTATAGCACAGATCCTCAACTTAAATCAAAAGACCTATATTCTACTAATAACCCCTCAGTTATGAATGGCTGACCTAGAAAAAAATAAATAACCTTGGTCAGGTTTCTTAGCTCTTCATCTATGAAAAAAATGTCGAATTTGATCTTTCAGTTCCAAATTCCAGGATAAAATGATCCAGCTATTATCTTCATTTTGTTCAACAATTAGATATTTAGACCATTATGTACTAAACTGGCTATATAAAACTTGACTAACATAAACAATATTGCAGTGGCTCAGCCTGTAATCCCAGCACTTTGGGAGGCCTAAGTGAGTGGATTGCCTGGGCTTGCGGGTTCAAGACCAGCCCAGGCAACTTGGCGAGACCTTGTCTCTATAAATTAAAAAAAAAAAAAAAAATTAGCCAGGAGTGGTAGCAAGCACCTGTAATTCTAGCTACTTGGAAGGCTGAGATGGAAGGACTGCCAGAATCCAGCAGATCGACACTGGGGTGGATGTAGTGTGCCATTGCACTCCAGCCTGGGCAACTGAGTGAGACTCCAATTAAAAAAAAAAAAAGAGAAGCCGGGCTCGGTGGCTCAGCCTGTAATCTCATGCCTTTGGGAGGCTGAGGTGAGTGGATTGCCTGAGCCTGCGGGTTTGAGACCTGCCTGGGCAACTTGGCAAGACCTCATCTCAACAATAATAAATTAGCCGGGCGTGGTAGCGCGCACCTGTAGTTCCAGCTACTTGGAAGGCTGAGGCGGAAGGATCGCCGGAGCCCAGCAGGTCAAGGCGGCGGTGGCCGGGAGCGGCCGCTGCACTCCAGTCTGGGTGACAGAGTGAGACTCCAACTCATTAAAAAAAAAAAAAGAGAGAGAGAGCAATATTAAAAACCTTACCCTATGTAAGATCCAATGTTGATGCAAATATTCTAATCCTTGAAGAGTCATCAACATGTAGGCTTTGATGTGTGATGGTGTCAGCACAAGACTATTATCCTTTATTATCACCTGAAATCAAGAATATAATATACAGCACTTTATTATTCCAAACGAACTCTACCATATAAAACAGTTTACAAACCTAAAATGAACATATCCATATAGGAGACTCTTGAGAGAGGTCATCTAAATGTCCTTAAGAACCACTGTTGGAATTTCCAGAGTTAGGTGATTGGGGAGAGAATCTCTGGTTTGGGGAAAAACAGCGCTTTGTCTCAACTGCTCTGGCACAAAAGTAGTGAACACCCGTTGTTTTTGCATGTCTCTTCTGACAACAGCATTCAATATTCCTTTATGAAACCACCTCCTCCCAGTTCAGTCCTCATGGTTAAAATAGGAATCTCCCCACCTGAAGCCTAGAGGTAGGCTGGTGGCCATTACCACACTGCAGTCTCCTGACACAGTGACTGGTTCATGGATGGACACATGATACAAGACAAGTTAATCAACCACATCAATGACCTTTGCTAGACTCAAAGGGAACAAAGCACTTTCTTTCCTCAGGGTTTATTAAACTCTAAGGACATAAACCGAGAGGTGCTTAGGCCGCCTCATTGAGAAATTGTACCCATGAATGAAAGCAGAGAGAAAACACAAAGCTGAGTTAAAGTGTAAGACTGAGTTCTGATGACATTACTTGTGAGCTGTATCTAAAGTCAGTTATCTTTCTAGACTTACCAGTTATATGAACTAAAAACTCCCATTTTCTCTTTTTAAAAATCAGACTTAAGGTACAATGTACCCTTTTTTGTGTACAGTTCCATGAGTTTAGACAAATGCAGCCAGTCATGTAACCACACTGTAATCGAGATAAAGTGCTACGATCTCCCAAAATTCCCTGAGGCCTCCCTGTACTCACTCTTCTCTTTACTCCATACCCCTGACAACTGCGAATCTGATCTGTTTCCAGAACACCATATAAATGGAATTATACAATACATACTCTTTTAATGTATCTGAGGTTCATATTTCAGTCTCTGTATACATTCACTAGAAAAAGGATGTGTGGGTTGTTTCCAGGAAAGTTCTGGTAGTTAGGAATAAAGCTAAACATTGGTATACCAATTGATTTCTGTGTTGCTATGCTTTTGTTTCATTTGGATGCCTAGTAACAGTATTGCTAGATCACAACATTAATGATTACTAGTATTGATCACAACATTAGTGACCTATTATAGATCACAATACTAGTGGTATTAATGCTATAAACTTTACTTAATCACTGCTAGCTTGACCATTTACTGTACTGCTTTTTTTTTTTTTTTTTAAGTTGTAGTCTCACTCTGTCACACAGGCTGGAATGCAGTGGCATGCTCACGGTCACCGAAGCATCAACTTCCTGGGCTCAGGCAATCCTTCCGCCTCAGCCATCCAAGTAGCTGGAACTACAGGCATGCACCATCACACCCATCTATTTTTTTGATTTATTGTAGAGATGAGGTCTCGCCAAGTTGCCCAGGCTGGTCTTGAACTCGTAGACTCAGCAATTCTCTCACCTCAGCCTCCCAAAGTGCTAGGATTACAGGCGTGAGCCACTGTGCCCAGTCTTTACTGTACTGCTTTTGTTTGTTTGTTTATGAGTCAGCCTCACTGTGTCACCCAGGCTGGAGTGTAGTGACATGATCAAAGCTCACTGTAGCCTCAACCTTCCGGGTTCAGGTGATCCTTCTTCTTCAGTTCTCTGAGTAGCTGGGACTACACGTGTGTATCACCACACCCGGCTGATTTTCTGATTTTTTGTAGCAAAAAGGTCTCACTGCGTTGCCTAGGCTGGTCTTGAACTCCTGGGCTCAAGCAATCCTCCTGCCTTGGCCTCCCAAAGTGCTGGGATTACAAGACTGAGATACCTTGTCCTGACCTGCTTTTACTTTTTGATAATGTGCTGTATTTCCTTTTATTTGACTGGTGTGTATTTAATTATATGAGAAACTGCCAGTCAGCTGGGCTCGGTGGCTCAGCCTATAATCCCTCGCTTGAGGAGGCTGAGGTGAGTGGATTGCCTGAGCCCGCAGGTTCGAGACCCGCCTGGGCAACTTAGCGAGACCTCATCTCTACAATAAATCAAAAATGAGCCGGGTGTGGTAACGTGCATGTGTCCTGTAGTCCCTCTGAGAACTGAAGAAGAAGGATCACCTGAACCCGGAAGGTTGAGGCTACAGTGAGCTATGATCATGTCACTACACTCCAGCCTGGTGGCAAGAGTGTGACCCCAACTCAAAGGGAAAAAAAAGGTGAGAAATTAAAAAAAGAAATAAGATGATAGCCTTAAAACTAGCCATACTAGCTGGGCTCGGTGGCTGAGCCTGTAATCCCGCGCCTTGGGAGGCTGAGGTGAGTGAATTGCCTGAGCCCGCGGGTTTGAGACCCACCTGGGCAACTTGGCGAGACCTCATCTCTACAATGAAAATATCAGCCGGGTGTGGTAGCGTGCCTGTAGCCTGTAGTTCCGGTTACTTGGAAGGCAGAGGCGGAAGGATCATTGGAGCCCAGCAGGTCGAGGCTGCGGTGGCCGGGAGCAGCCAATGCACTCCAGTCTGGGCGACAGAGTGAGACTCCAACTCAAAAAAAAACAAATAAAATTTTTTTTTTTAATGAAGATGGACTCTCGCTTTGTTGCCCAGGCTGGTCTTGAACTTCTAGCCTCAAGTAATCTTCCTGCCTTGGCCACCCAAGGTGCTAGTATTACAGGCATGAGTCACCATACCAGGCCCATAGCTGTACCATTTTGCATTCTCACCATCATGTATGAAAACTGCAGTTGTTCCATATCCATAAGTTGTCAGTATTTTGAGATTTAACTAATATTAACAGAAAGCATGAGATTTTCTATTTAAAAAAAAACTTGGCTTTCAAAAGAATGACATTATTCTGTGATAATACGAAAATAAGCTCTAAATTCTTACAGACCTAATGCGTATTTTTCCAAAAATAATGTCAATAAGCTACGGGAACTTCGTAGACAGAAATACCAATGAAATCCAAATGGCACTATTGCCAAATGATTAGCAGAACTCAGAGAATGTCTTTTTTTGTTTGTTTAAAGTCAGACAAATTTAACAGTGGAGGGTTGTAAACCAACTTTAGTGACACTAATGTTAATAAGTTCTGATAACCCACTACCATCAGACTAGCCCAGAGATTCTTTTGACTTCAGAGTACATGCAGATTTCAACAAAATTAAGTTTGTTTGCTTGTTTTTTTTTACTACCACTATCTTCTTAGGTAGTAAATAAACATTTGGGTTCTCCTTTGATAAACTGATAAAAAGATTTACCTAGTAATCTTAATCTTACCTCTAGATCAGTTTCCATAAAGTCAAAGACAAGGCTAATGTTAGATTTATGTCCAAAAGCATCAAGGAGCTGCAAAATAAAAAAGATAAAATGTGATTCTCTAGTTAATACTTGAGAATATCATAGCAGCTGAGCTAATTTTTAAAAATTTAAACAAGCATTTAAACTGTTGGTAACTCCCTATAGAGCTTAATTCATTTTATTAAATTTGAGGTTTGTGCTTTCTTGAATAATATTAAGGGAATTAATATTCCGCGGCAAGCCAAACTCGGTGGCTCAGCCTGTAATCCCGCGCCTTTGGGAGGCTGAGGTGAGTGGATGCAGCGAGACCTTATCTCTACAATAAATCAAAAAATCAGTCGGGCGTGGTAGCGCATGCCTGTAATTCCGGCTACTTGGAAGGCTGAGGCGGAAGGATCGCCGGAGCTCAGCAGGTCGAGGCTGCGGTGGCCGGGAGCGGCCACTGCACTCCAATCTGGGCGATCGAGTGAGACTCCGACTCAGAAAAAAAAAAAAAAAAAAAATTCCGAGGCATAAAAAATACTAAACTTTAGTTTAAAAAAATAAAAAATCCCCAAATACTCAACCTCTCCCCCTAAAATTATGGAGTTATAATTTAGAAATAGAATAAAAACCTCACCCCAGTCTCCAATTAAAAAAAAAAAATCCAAGCACAATGCTTAAGAAAGTCCTTTAAATAGTAGCAGATCTTTCTTTTTTTTTTTCTGTTGCCCAGGCTGGAGTGCACAAGCACTCTCATGGTCACCACAGCCTCGACCTGCTGGGTTCAGGCAATCCTTTTGCCTCAGCCTTTCAAGTAGCTGGAATCATAGGCGCTGGCTAATTTTTTTGATTTATTGTAGAGATGAGGTCTTGCCGCATTGCCCAGACTGGTCTTGAACCCATGGGCTCAGGCAATCCTCTTACCTTGGCCTCCCAAAGTGCTGGGTTTACAGGCATGAGCTACTGTGCCTGGCTCAGCTGTATAGTTTTAAAGCCATTGCCTACAGGAACAACTGGGATAGAAAATGTACTTCCAACAGATGAACTTTTAAGTTTCTGCAAGGCTCACCTAGAACAACTCATCTTGCTGAGCCTTCCTCAATCAACATCTACATTTAGAAAAGCCAGGAACCCAAATCCCAGAAAGAATTCAGATCATACTCACACCAATTATATTTGGATGACTTAGCTCCTGTAATAATTTTATCTCTCTTAAGGCTGTTCTATTTATACCTGTAAAAGGCAAAACCAAAAGTGAATAATTGTAAAATCTCAACCCTTCTTACAAATACACATATTTTAGGGAAGGTTAGTTATCTCAGAAAATAGCAGTGAACATTCCACAGAAAAATAAGGGCTATTTTGATAATTTTTCATGACAAATCTGTTGTTTTTTTATACTGTTTTATTTTTATTTATTTTGGGGGGCTGGAGTACAGTGGCACCTTCATAGCTACCGCAGTCTCAACCTCCTAGACTCAGGCAACCCTTCTACCTCAGTCTTCCAAGTAGCTGGGACTACAGGTGTGCGCGACCACACCTGGCTAATTTTTTAATTTATTGTAGAAATGAGGTCTTGCCAAGTTTCCCAGGCTGGTCTTATATCCCTGGGCTCAGGCAATCCTCACCTCTCTCTCCCAAAGTGCTGGGATTATAGGTGTGAGCCATCATGTCCAGTTGCTGTTTTATTTTATTTTATTTTTGAGTTGGAGTCTCACTCTGTCGCCCAGACTGGAGTGCAGCGGCTGCTCCCGGCCACCGCAGCCTTGACCTGCTGGGCTCTGGCAATCCTTCCACCTCAGCCTTCCAAGTAGCTGGAACTACAGGTGCGCACTACCATGCCCGGCTCATTTTTGATTTATTGTAGAGATGATGTCTCACCAAGTTTCCCAGGCAGGTCTTGAACCGACGGGCTCAGGCAATCCACTCACCTCAGCCTCCCAAGGCACAGGATTACAGGCTGTGCACCGAGCCTGGTTTATTTTACTTTTTTTTAAGACGGGGTCTCACTTTGTTGCCCAGGCTGGAGTACAGTGGCATGCTCGTGACAAATGCAGCCTAGACTTGCTGAGCTCAGGTGATCCTTCTGCCTCAACCTCCCTTGTAGCTGGGACTACAGATGTATGCCACCATGCCCAGCTAATTTTTTTTTTTTTCTGTAGACCCAAGTTCTCACTGTCTTGCCCAGACTGGTCTCGAACTCCTAGACTCAGCAATTCTCCCACTTCGGGCTCCCAAAGTACAGGGATTACAGGCACGAGCCACTGCATTCGGCTGCTTCATTTTTAAAGTAGCTTAACAGAAACTATGATATATGGTTTAAAAAGTATTCACTTTATCTGTAGAACATCAGATCTGAAAACCACTACACCAGGAACATATATGAGTGTGCAGCATTACAGGTGGTACACCCTCCTTTCTCTTGCCCTACAAATATTAGGGGTAGGGTCTTTGTGTTAAAAGCAAACTGGCCAGGCTCGGTGGCTCAGCCTATAATCCCGTGCCTTTGGGAGACTGAGGTGAGTGGATTGCCTGAGCCCGCGGGTTCGAGACCTGCCTGGGCAACTTAGCGAGACCTCACCTCTACAATAAATAAAAAAATCAGCCGGGCGTGGTAGCGCATGCATGTAATTCTGGCTACTTGGAAGGCTGAGGCAGAAGGATCGCCGGAGCCCAGCAGGTCAAGGCTGCGGTGGCCGGGAGAGGCTGCTGCACTAGTCTGGGTGATGGAGTGAGACTCCAACTCAAAAAAAAAAAAAGCAAACTGGTGATAAAACAGTATCTTTTCCAATAGAAAGGACAAAATTCAAGATTAAAAACAAGATCCCGTACTGGGACTTACAAAAATGATGAGTCTTTTTTATAAGGGCTATTTTATGATGACTACACTTCAGGAAAATTCTCTCAAACTGTTTTTCCCTCCGGTCTCGCATCAGAATAACATCTCTGTAAACAAATGTGGAGGATTTCCTAACACTCCAAGCAGCAGACGCAAACAAGGTGTCCTCTAATTCAATTCTGATACTATCCTACCTGGAGACAGTGTCAGATGTCACAGAGGAAGGACTCCTTCCCACAAGACTGCCCCTGGGCCCAGACAACAGCGTAAGTCCAGGCCTCTAGAACTTGTGACCAACCAGTTTCTTTTTTTTTTTTTTTGAGTTGAAGTCTCACTCTGTCGCCCAGACTGGAGTGCAGTGGCCACTCTCGGCCACCGCAGCCTCAACTTGCTGGGCTCCGGCAATCCTTCCACCTCAGCCTTCCAAGTAGCTGGAACTACAGGCGTGCGCTACCACGCCCAGCTCATTTTGATTTATTGTAGAGATGAGGTCTTGCCAAGTTGCCCAGGCGGGTCTCGAACCCGCGGGCTCAGGCAATCCACTCACCTCAGCCTCCCAAAGTGCTGGGATTACAGGCTGAGCCACTGAGCCCGGCTCAGTTTCTTTTTCTTTTTCTTGAAATAGGGGTCTCACCCTGTCACCCAGGCTGGAGTGCAGTGGTGCGATCACAGCTCACAACAGCCATAACCTCCTGAACTCTAGTGATCCACCCACCTCAGCCTCTTGAGTGGCTGGGACTTATAGATGCGTGCCACCATTGCCAGCTCACTTACTATTTTTAAATTTTTTGTAGAGATAGGGGTCTTGCTATGTTACTCAGGCGGGTCTAGAAAGTTTAGCCTTAAGTGATCCTCCCCACTTGGCCTCCCAAAGACCTGGGATTGCAGGTATATACCACCGTTCCAAGCTCTGAACAGCTTTAAGTTGGGATTATCATGACCTCCCTCTCTGGGTTTGATTAATTTGTCAAAGTGGCTCACAGAACTCAGAAAATATGTTTTCTGGTTTATTATAAAGGATATTATAAAGAATACTGATGAAGAAATGCACAGGGCAAGGTATATAGAGGAGGCGCAGGGAGCTTCCATGCCCTCTCTGGGTGCTGCACCATCCAGAAACCTCCACAGGTCCAACTACCTGGAAGCTCTGCAAACCCAGTCCTTTCGGGTTTTTATGAAGGCTTCATTACACAGGCATGATTGACAACTGTGTGGAAATGTGACTGGACAAAAAGCACCTGATCTAAACTCAGCAAGGCCTGTCCAGACTTTTCGTGGCCTCTCTGTGCAGCACTCCTTCCTCTAGGGTATGGGGCAAGACTCTCTGGAATGAGGATCTTTTGACCCACAATCAGATTATAGTCCTGCCTTGGGCAGGAGAAAAAGGAATAGGAAGGACTGTTTCCTGAGGCCTAAAGTGTTGGAACGTTATATAACAAAAGACTGTAACAGGCCGATGGGGTGGCTCACATCTGCAGTCCTAGCATTTTGGGAGGCCAAGGTGGGAGGATTGCTTGAGCCCAGGAGTTCAAGACCAGCAGTTCAAGACCAGCCTAGGAAACATAGCAAGATCTCACCAATACAAAAAAAAAGCTAGGCATGGTGACACACACCTATAGTGCTAGCTGTTTAGGAAGCTGTGGAGGAGGGATCACTTGAGCCCAGGAGGCCAAGGATGCAATAAGCCATGATCATGCCACTTGCACTCCAGCCTGGGAACAGAATGAGACTGACTCAAAAA